AAGTTCTAGTTGACACTTTTTGAATTTGTAGCAAATTTGCTTGGCAAGTCTACAGCAAGAGTCCGGCAGGTCTTAGCAAGAGCTCTGCAAGTGTACAGCACTTTTACAAAGCACATTGATCTGGAGACTTGCAATGCAAACTTGCTGTAATTGTGCAACAAAATTGTGAAGCTTGGCAAGTCTGCAATAGTTTAGCAAGTCATTTTCAAACTTGCAGTTCAATTGCTTGCTATCTGGGATATACAAAAGAACACAGGCTCAGAGAGAGAAGACCTCATCAGTTTGCTGATGCTCTTTTGCTATCCACAGTTTGGGGCATGGAAGTGGGCAAGCTGCATTGTTTAACTGCTGTATAGAAAATTCTGGACACCAGCCTGGCTGTGCTGTTTGTCAGCGCTGTATATACCCATGGACTCCCTAGCCAAAATGACAAATCCCTTGGCAGGTTAAACAGCCCCCAAATATTATATTTCAAAATTTTGCCCAGAGTTCCACTTTAATACTTAGGCTAAGTAGACTTTGGCTTCAGAATAAGTAATAGTATCCTAAAAGGTTTGAAATATGCCTGAAATTAGTTATCTACTAAATTGCATCCTATATATTGGTATGCCTGCAATGTTTGACATAGCAAAGAAACCACTTTATCTAGGGATGACTTAGTTCATTCTGAGAATTCTCCCAAACCACTGCCTGGCAGAGCATGATGGGATTTATAGCTCAACAGCATCTGGAGAGCCACAGGTTGACTAAACATAATGTAGCGAGGGGATGCATGAATAAACTGTTTCATGTAGAGCAGCGTGCCATTGGGACCAATAGGCAATCCCATTGTGGAGGAAAGAAGGTTATTGAGTAGGCTATATTGTGCTAATGTGTTTTGTCTTTGGGGTCCAATAAACATGTGATAAAGGAAACTCACTCATTTAACCAGAATGTCTTCTAGGGGATCCATAATTTCAGTTGATGTTTACGCGGCAGTGAAAGTATACAGCTCTCAGTAGGGGTTGAGGAAGACTCTTAGTTAATTAAAGCTTCATGAGTTAAATGAGGATTGTGTAATGAGCAGCCTAATTCATTGTGTGCGTATCACTTTGTTTGGGAAGACTAATTATAACCTCACTCTCTAGTATGAATCTGAAGCTACATAACCTGACCTAGTTCAGTGGAATAGTGGATGGTCCTCAGTAGCCCTCACACTGCAGATTTCTCTTTTAGGTGATTATTATGATTGAGGGGTTAAATGTAAATAGACATAAAATAAATTTCCATAATGGAGTTCTGTGCTTTAGCACAGTACATTCTGCTCTACCAAAGTGCCGGAAAGAAGGTTGGTGTTACCAGGGGCACTTAGTTGCAAGGTTTGACCAAATGCATTGGTCACAGAAAATGCTTTCTTAAAAGCATTTACAGGTCTTTGCAAGCTTTTCATTTCTATTGCACAAAAGTACAGAACTATAGTGCAGGCTGGAAAGAAAAACAGATGCTTAAGTACCTAATCCTAAAATGACCCCATGATATGCTTCACTTCACAAGGCTAAGACCTGAAAACTTCTACTGAAAATGACCTTCCCCTGTTTAAATATACTGTATTACAAGGAATGTGCAGTGTTTTTTAAAGTGATATGCACATTAAAATGCTGTAAGCTATTTCAGAGGCTGGTGAAATCACTTACAATGGATTCTGCTTGATGTATAAACGTTTGTTTCCTGCAAAATCAGCTGGTTCCCTGAGCACTAGCCCTGATATCCTCCTTTTGGGCGCTTCCTTTTTCCATGCAGTCTCCACAAACACACAGGTACAGCAAGGCCCTGCTCTTCACTCCTCCTTCCTCCCTTCACCGAGCTAGTACTGTGCTGTTCCTTGTGATTTTGTACTCAAGAGAAAGTTTAAGGAAGCTGAGCTTAGAGTTGGAGCCAGCTGTTCAGAAACATGATAGCAGTAAGGACTTGGCCAAAAAAATAAGAAATACTTCACTGTGCAATGTATGTTTGTTTGATCTAGATAAATTATTGAAAAAAATGTGTGTTTAATATTACTGTTAAGTTTATTTCTTCTTTTTTTCGCTCAGGAGTAAAGAAATACAGTTAAAACTAATTCCTTAATTTGTAGTCAGATACACATTTAAAATTTTCATCCAGTAGGTGAACATGTTATCAAGCTTTTCTGAAGCTCAAACTAGACATACAGCTGAATGAGTCAGCTTCAGATTGGCTTTGTCCTAATACTTGGTTTCTGTAATCACATCCCAGATAGCAAGGATAACATGCCACAAACTTGTGGCAGGGTAAATTGTAATTCTTGTTAACTTGCTGCACACATTCCTGGCAAGTTGTAGACTTGCAGAACACTTGCAGCACAAGTTCTAGTTGACACTTTTTGAATTTGTAGCAAATTTGCTTGGCAAGTCTACAGCAAGAGTCCGGCAGGTCTTAGCAAGAGCTCTGCAAGTGTACAGCACTTTTACAAAGCACATTGATCTGGAGACTTGCAATGCAAACTTGCTGTAATTGTGCAACAAAATTGTGAAGCTTGGCAAGTCTGCAATAGTTTAGCAAGTCATTTTCAAACTTGCAGTTCAATTGCTTGCTATCTGGGATATACAAAAGAACACAGGCTCAGAGAGAGAAGACCTCATCAGTTTGCTGATGCTCTTTTGCTATCCACAGTTTGGGGCATGGAAGTGGGCAAGCTGCATTGTTTAACTGCTGTATAGAAAATTCTGGACACCAGCCTGGCTGTGCTGTTTGTCAGCGCTGTATATACCCATGGACTCCCTAGCCAAAATGACAAATCCCTTGGCAGGTTAAACAGCCCCCAAATATTATATTTCAAAATTTTGCCCAGAGTTCCACTTTAATACTTAGGCTAAGTAGACTTTGGCTTCAGAATAAGTAATAGTATCCTAAAAGGTTTGAAATATGCCTGAAATTAGTTATCTACTAAATTGCATCCTATATATTGGTATGCCTGCAATGTTTGACATAGCAAAGAAACCACTTTATCTAGGGATGACTTAGTTCATTCTGAGAATTCTCCCAAACCACTGCCTGGCAGAGCATGATGGGATTTATAGCTCAACAGCATCTGGAGAGCCACAGGTTGACTAAACATAATGTAGCGAGGGGATGCATGAATAAACTGTTTCATGTAGAGCAGCGTGCCATTGGGACCAATAGGCAATCCCATTGTGGAGGAAAGAAGGTTATTGAGTAGGCTATATTGTGCTAATGTGTTTTGTCTTTGGGGTCCAATAAACATGTGATAAAGGAAACTCACTCATTTAACCAGAATGTCTTCTAGGGGATCCATAATTTCAGTTGATGTTTACGCGGCAGTGAAAGTATACAGCTCTCAGTAGGGGTTGAGGAAGACTCTTAGTTAATTAAAGCTTCATGAGTTAAATGAGGATTGTGTAATGAGCAGCCTAATTCATTGTGTGCGTATCACTTTGTTTGGGAAGACTAATTATAACCTCACTCTCTAGTATGAATCTGAAGCTACATAACCTGACCTAGTTCAGTGGAATAGTGGATGGTCCTCAGTAGCCCTCACACTGCAGATTTCTCTTTTAGGTGATTATTATGATTGAGGGGTTAAATGTAAATAGACATAAAATAAATTTCCATAATGGAGTTCTGTGCTTTAGCACAGTACATTCTGCTCTACCAAAGTGCCGGAAAGAAGGTTGGTGTTACCAGGGGCACTTAGTTGCAAGGTTTGACCAAATGCATTGGTCACAGAAAATGCTTTCTTAAAAGCATTTACAGGTCTTTGCAAGCTTTTCATTTCTATTGCACAAAAGTACAGAACTATAGTGCAGGCTGGAAAGAAAAACAGATGCTTAAGTACCTAATCCTAAAATGACCCCATGATATGCTTCACTTCACAAGGCTAAGACCTGAAAACTTCTACTGAAAATGACCTTCCCCTGTTTAAATATACTGTATTACAAGGAATGTGCAGTGTTTTTTAAAGTGATATGCACATTAAAATGCTGTAAGCTATTTCAGAGGCTGGTGAAATCACTTACAATGGATTCTGCTTGATGTATAAACGTTTGTTTCCTGCAAAATCAGCTGGTTCCCTGAGCACTAGCCCTGATATCCTCCTTTTGGGCGCTTCCTTTTTCCATGCAGTCTCCACAAACACACAGGTACAGCAAGGCCCTGCTCTTCACTCCTCCTTCCTCCCTTCACCGAGCTAGTACTGTGCTGTTCCTTGTGATTTTGTACTCAAGAGAAAGTTTAAGGAAGCTGAGCTTAGAGTTGGAGCCAGCTGTTCAGAAACATGATAGCAGTAAGGACTTGGCCAAAAAAATAAGAAATACTTCACTGTGCAATGTATGTTTGTTTGATCTAGATAAATTATTGAAAAAAATGTGTGTTTAATATTACTGTTAAGTTTATTTCTTCTTTTTTTCGCTCAGGAGTAAAGAAATACAGTTAAAACTAATTCCTTAATTTGTAGTCAGATACACATTTAAAATTTTCATCCAGTAGGTGAACATGTTATCAAGCTTTTCTGAAGCTCAAACTAGACATACAGCTGAATGAGTCAGCTTCAGCTCCTTCTCCTCCTTCCTATGGCTCAATTAGAGCATGTGTCAAACACAAGACCAGCAGACCGAATCCAGCCCACCAGGCCATTTCTTGTGGCCCTCGCGCCTCTCCTGCAACATTACATTTTTAAACCAAAGCTAACACTGTAAACAAGTGCCAGGCTTCACAACTGGCCCTTTGAGGGCAACCATAATGCTGATATGGCCCGCAATTAAATTGAGTTTGACACCCCTGAGTTAGAGAGTCTGTAAGGTGAGTGCTACAGCTCTGCTTCTTTTTAGGAAAACCCCAGTGAATGGAGGCACTCATAATTTCCCATAGGGTAGCTGTAATGTCCCACTTACCACCCCAGTATTTTATCAGCAGTCTAACCACGGGAAGGTTATGTGTAGCCACCCTTGGGAATAAAGACAAAATGGAGAACCAGTCAAAGCCCTTACCTATCTACGATTCCAATGCAGTCCTTTATGCGGGGTCCTCTACACCTGTAAAAAAACAACAACAGGGATGAACACATACAAGGTTAGATAATAGGTTATATAAACACACAGGACAAAAAGGGACTGTAATGCTAAAAACACTATGTAAAATCAGTATGTAAAAAATACAGAAATTTAGGAACAATATAAAACACACCAGCAGCCTAATAAACAATTTACAGGGAACAAACCAGAAGGTACATTTATAGAAGGAAACAAATACATATAAACAATAGGCAGAGCTATCCGTTATTATGACATCCCAAATGTATTCTATAAAAATCTCTTAATATACCGTCATGCAAACAGTTGGATTTCTGACAATAACATTTAAAAAAAAACAAATGTTAACAGCTAAAGTGCAAGAAAAACATAACAAGAAGCAATACAGAATCTGCAGAAAGTCTTAGACTATTAATTGCTACATTTCAATCAATGTTTGTCATACAGCAGATTGTTCATAAAGTCAAACTACTTCCAAAAGAAGGGGTTAACTTTGAAGTCCTTTGTTCCCGCTGCCATCAGTGACAGAAATAATTAGAGTGATTGGTTTCCAGACAGCAGTCAACAATAGGGACAGGGCAGGAAGGTGGCGCCCTCCCTGCCAAAACTGGCATTAGCGATAATATGCAATCTTCACCTGTGCCTGCAGGAGGCTTTAAAATGCCAAGGTCTTGTTTTTCTGCCCCTCTCTGGTTTCCTGGCTTACAAAACACTGAGCCCATGATTACTACCCACAAAAAGATCACAGCTTATCTCTATTCAAATGGCAGTTAAATGGCCAACTCACAATTATATTCTGTTCTCTTTCTCTACTAACCCTCAGAGCTTGAAATTGGAGTTGGCAACCACAGGATAGGCTGACGTAGAGCTGTGTTTTCAACTCAAATAAAAAGGCTTGAAAAATAGGCTGAAATTTTCACAAGCTACACAAGTTGTAATAATCAACTGCCTGATGGCATTTGGGGTCCATACTGGGGAAAACACACACCTGGATGTCACTCTGAGATGCAGAATACTAACATTAAATATGTGTTTTCACTGAAATATGATTTTAAAGTGAACCTGTTTTTTACCTTCCTGTGCTACCGTGCCCTGATCCATCCCAGTAGCTCGCTAAAAGACTGTTACTTCCATGATGCACCTTGCTGCTTACCACAGTGCAGTACCGAGTCTCTAAGCCCTCATTCACAGACATTAGCACAGGTGCGTTAAAGGTTGCGTTGTGGTAGGGCAGCCCATTTTGAATAGGCTGTCTACCACATCAAATCACACTTAAAGAAGTGCATGCACTTTTTGAAAAATTGTATAGCACCACTACTCATTATGGTGTTAAGCAATGCAAATGTGATTGCTAGGTGCTAGGTTAAGAAATAATGACACTGCAGTGCACCTAACAGTGCAACATGCGATGTCATAAGATTCCCACACACGCTTCAACACTACAGAGATGTGAACAAGAGCTAATTGAGTGCTAACACATGTGAATAAGGGATCATATTAGGCCTGAGTAAGTTTTAACATTGTGGTCAATTGTGGAAACAGAGGATAGGAAACAAAGACTGCCTGTGGAGCTTGCTATAAAACTAACTGTTACTTTGCCCATTCCAGATTAAAGACTGCAAGAGAGATCCTAAAAGCAGATGTAAACCCACTCTATAAAATATCACAAACATGTGGATAAAGCAATCCCCAGTCATTGTAAAAGCATACCCTTTAACTGTCCCACATTTGGAATCAAATCCCTCTTACCTCCTCAGCTGTTCCCCTTTTTGGTTGGATGCATAGATATCTAGGACAATGTTCTATTTAACTACCAATTAGTTTGTTTGCTATTTTTGAAAATCTGGAGCAGTTACTAATAGTAACCAATCAACCTATCTCTTTAGTTTGTTCAGTTAGGCTTTAAAAATAAAAGGTTGTAGCTGATTGGTTACTGTGGACAACTGCTCCAGATTTAGTCTGCTCCAGTTATGATAAATTGCCTCAGTGTATCTTTTTCTCCTCACAGAGGAGAAACAGTCCCGGTGCTAAAATCTGTGATCAATGTAATTAGCCATCACAGTGATCACATGATTAGGAGATGGCCCTACAGACTCCAGATCATACGTTTGAGACCAAGAGCTGCCGGTGACAGCTTGGTCTCGGTGCTGGTGGTCCCCCATCGTACAATGCATTTCCGGTACAAACACATGACTCATATATGCAACACCACGCAAGAAAGCCTACTTCCATGATGCCACAAATATATGGATTATGCCGACAGGAAGGGGTTAATATTTAATATTTTTATTGGTTGTAAACATAAATATTAAGTGTGCACACTTTTTTTCCTGATGTCCATCAAGGTAGCAGCATATTGTCTTAAATAGCCTACATATGCATATATTAGCTTCATACAGTTGTTGTCTACTTTTGTTCTCCCCGTCTTTCATTTTTTCCCCCCAATTTTTTTTTTTTCAGTCTGACATGAGATAATGTTTACAAAATAACTGCTTAAACAACTGTGCCCTAGCCCTATCGGTGTCCCATTAGTGAGATTTTCCTTCACTCCCTGTCCTGTAGACACAATTGGATTTCAGAAGAAATCTCTCCAGAGTGAGGGAAATCCCTTCTAAGACAATTGACATCAGAACAAGTGTATGCATTGTAAATTTTCTCTCTATTCCTGTTCTGGTGGCAAATCAATAGTTTCAGTTGTCCCTCACTTTCAGTCTCAATGACAATGGCCAACAGAACAAACCAGGTGTAATGAACGGACCCTGCAGGGACCTGGTGTTGGTGGCCGTCGCGGTCCTGCGCAGGCGCGCCGCGGTTCCGCAACCCCAGCTCGCCGTAGGAGAGCGGGGATGTCTGGTGGAGCGTTCCGTCGCCGCCTCGCGCAGGCGCATCGCCGACCTCCGTCGTCTCTCCCTTCAGAGCCGTCTACGTCGGGCGCAGGCGCACCAAGTAGCTCCGCCCCCCCAAGACGCAGCACTCGGCATAAAGCCGAGAGCCGGTAGTTGATCGGCGTCTTTCTGTTGATAGTGGAAGGACGCTGATCAACTCAGCGCTCCACTCGCCTCAGCCTAAACGGACCAGTGCCTTCATCTGGAACCTATCATTGACCACTAAAACCGCAAGTATCCTAGGCTATGCCATACGATAGCCTCAACACTCCTGTGCAGTCAGACCTATTGTGATTCAGTGAGAACCTTAGGGAATCAGCTGTGTGCTGCATCCGTGTACTACTGCTTACCCTACTAAAACTACCACTAACCTAAGTTGGGAGATTCTTGTAAGATGTCAATGCATTTCTATTGTCAGCTAGTACATACTGGAAAACAGTGCTTCAGACAGACCTGCTGTGTATAACCCTAACCAGTGCACTACTGTTGTCTGCATATACTTGAACCAGAGCTCCTACGCTCCTGCTGTGTATAACCTTAACCAGTACATACTGTTGTCTGCTATTACATACTTGCCTGCTGTGAATAACCCTTGATCAGTTCATTACTGTTTTCCAGCAGTATAAACGGGGTGTGATGTTTTGTAGCCTCCTAACCGCCTAAACTACTAAAACTGGGCATTCAGGGAGTAGCTACTAATCTGATACCCGTTCTTATTAACCATTTCCATCCGCAGTTGTGATCCACGGAGGGAATAGACCCTCGCCCAAGGCGAGCATTACAGTACAGAAAGACCCGTAAAAGAAAAATGGATCCAGCGGAATTAGCCCAACACATCATAAACCTCACTCAGCGCATGGAGGATCTCACGTTGAATGTGACAGAGCTCCGCACCGAAAACCAAACCCTGAGAGAGACGGTCTCACAGAGGCTGCCCGAGGCGGCCGCCTCCCACCCAGGGCCTGAGCTCAAGGTGAGTCCTCCCGATACATTCTCCGGGGATCGTAAGGACTACCAAGACTTCTTAAATGCCTGTAAACTTATGTTTGAACTACAGCCCAGGTCATACCCAAACGACCATGTAAAAGTGCGCACCTTGATATCTTACCTGCGGGGTGAGCCACGGGCCTGGGCCAATACGTACCTAGAGATTGATGACCCCCTGCTGGAGACATACGACGGGTTTACCGCGGCAATGTCCCAGTTATACGAAGATCCAGGTAAACAAATAACAGCGGAAACAGCCATCCGAAGTATTCGACAGGGGAAACGCCCCGTGGAAGACTTCATAGCGGAATTCAAAAGATGGGCGCGCCAGACGGAATGGAACGACATTAGTCTCCGGAACCAATTCCGTCTGGGTCTCTCCGAGACACTTAAAGACGAACTGGCCAGAACCGAATTACTGCCGACCTTAGACGCACTCATGCAACTCTCTATTTCCATTGATCGCCGCCTGAGGGAACGGCGCAGCGAAAAAATAAGAGGGATACCCTGGAAACCCCGTAGAACACCCACGCTACCGCCAGTCGAACCCATGGAGGTCGGGATTATCAGAGGTCCGATTACATCAGTGGAACGATCCAGACGCCGGATGCAGAATCTATGCATGTATTGCGCCTCCCCCGAACACCTCGTGGACGAATGTCCTGCTGTAAGAAGGAAGAATACAGGTAAGGAACCTCGCATTGCCAGAATTTCTTCGGCTCACCTGAAATCCACTAATTACCTCTATATACCCTTATCCTTGCAGTGGGAGCAAAAAAGAATACGAGTTAACGCTCTAGTGGACTCCGGCGCATATGGGAACTTCATAGACGGACAGCTGGTTTCCCATCACCACATCCCCACATGCAAGAAGGTCAGCCCTCTGTCTGTTAGCTTCGTGGATGGAACATCCTTGATCTCCGGACCAATCAATCTACAGACACAACCCCTGATGGTGACCACCAACGAGGACCACAGGGAATACATGGGTTTCGATATAATACCGTCTCCTGTTTTTCCCGTCATACTCGGCATCCCATGGTTGCGCCTACATCAACCTGATATCATCTGGACGGAAAACAGAGTAGTACTGAAATCCACATACTGTCACTCCACCTGCTATCCTTCAAAGATCCTCATGAATATCAATCTTCAAAAAATCCCGCAACAATACCAGGAATTCCAGGACGTTTTTAATCCCATCAACGCAGAGGTACTTCCACCACACCACCCGTACGACTGCCCCATCGATCTCCTCCCAGGTAGTACCGTTCCTGTGGGAAGGATCTACCAGCTATCCCAACCGGAATTAGTTCACCTCAAGGGTTACCTCGAAGAAAACCTAAAAAAAGGATTCATTCGCCCATCCACCTCCCCCGCAGGAGCTGGAATGTTCTTCGTCCGCAATAAAGATGGCAGCATCAGACCTATCATAGATTACCGCGCCTTGAACACCATTACGGTTAAGAACCGATACCCTCTACCCCTCATTCCGGAGCTTATCGAACGTCTACAGACGGCCAGAATCTACACTAAATTAGACCTAAAGGGAGCATACAATCTAATACGGATGCGTGCAGGTGACGAGTGGAAGACTGCTTTTAGGACGCGTTACGGGCTTTTTGAGTATATGGTGATGACTTTCGGGTTGTGTAACGCCCCTGCCACTTTTCAATGCTTCATTAATGATATCTTCCGAGATATTTTAGATGTATGTGTGGTAATCTACTTGGACGACATCCTCATTTACTCCGACACCCACCCACCCACCGCCTGTTTGCCAAACTGGAAAAATGCACCTTCGAGAAGGAGACGGTTCCTTTCCTGGGGTATGTGATCTCCCCAGAGGGAGTGCAGATGGATACCTCCAAGATTGATAGTATCCTGCACTGGCCTGTAATCAGACCTATTGTGAGTCAGTGGCCCACCGCCTGTTTGCCAAACTGGAAAAATGCACCTTTGAGAAGGAGACGGTTCCTATCCTGGGGTACGTGATCTACCCAGAGGGAGTGCAGATGGATACCTCCAAGATTGATAGTATCCTGCACTGGCCTGTGCCCCGATCCCGCCGCGCTCTGCAACGGTTCCTTGGCTTCTCTAATTTCTACAGGAAGTTTATAAGGAATTTCTCCAGTACTGTCAAGCCGCTCACCTCCCTCATGAGTTCCAAAGTGAGATATGCCTGGAAAACAGAACATCAGAAGGCCTTCGACGACCTGAAGAGGTGCTTCACTACCGCACCCATACTGAGGTTTCCTAACCCCTCTTCCCAATACGTTCTTGAAGTGGACGCCTCCGACTGGGCCCTTGGAGCAGTATTGTCACAAAGGGAATCGCTCTCCGCTCCACTGCACCCAGTGGCGTTCCATTCTAGAACGCTAAACCTCGCCGAGAGGAACTACCCAATCGGAGAAAAAGAACTACTGGCGATCAAACATGCCCTAGAGACCTGGCGGCATCTGCTGGAAGGTGCTACTCACCCCATTGTTATTTATTCTGATCATCGGTATCTTCAGTACTTGAAAACCACAAGGACCCTGTCCTCCAGACAGGTCAGATGGAGCCTTTTCTTTGATCTTTTCGACTATATCATCACCTACCGTCCAGGGAAAAGGAACGGAAAGGCTGACTCACTCTCCCGCATTAGCGACTCCGCCAAGCCGGATAGGGAACCGTCCTCCGTCATACCACCGGATCGGATAGTTGCCACTACCATCGACTTGAGGGGTCAACTCCTGACTGAGCTACGGTCCGTGATCGTCTGACCACCTGGGCTGGTGGAGGATGCTGAGGGGTTCCTATATCGCAACTCCAAAATGTACGTTCCCCCCTCTATGCAGGTCCATATCCTGAAGCTGTTACATGACTCCCCCTCCGCGGGTCATCCAGGACTCACCAGGACACTTGAGCTCGTACGGCGATATTTCTGGTGGCCTCAGATGCGCAAAACTGTGTCGGATTACGTGTCCACCTGTACGGTCTGTGCCTCCTGCAAGCATGAGAGGCGCGCGCCCTACGGGCTGCTTGCCAGTCTACCCATACCTACCATGCCGTGGGAAGTGGTGTCTCTGGACTTCATTGTTGATCTCCCGGTATCCCGGGGACACAACACCATCCTTGTCGCAGTGGACCATCTGACCAAGATGGCACACTTCGTGCCGCTACCCCGGTTGCCGAACTCCCAGGAGACGGCCGAAGCTTTCGTTGCCACAGTTTACCGATTACATGGAGTACCTACTAGAATAGTGACGGACCGGGGCTCTCAATTCGTGTCGAAATTCTGGAGGGCC